TTTTTTTAACTAGAAATTTGAATCCTGATCTGTGGTACTCATGTTATCTCCTTGATCAGATATTAATCGGGTTAGTCTATAGTATATTTCTTGTTGTGTACTTGTATTTAATTTACAAATGAATTCTTGTATTTCTCTTGGCGTGAAGCTGTCTATCGTCTGTATTGCACTTTCAGGCTTGTGGGGGTGATTTTCTTCTACTGGGTGGGTTTGGGAGGTGGTTGGTTGATTATTAATGTATTCATTTGATTTTTGGTATTTTGCTGGTCTTGAATTTGGTTGTATTAGTTGGGCATTGTGTTTTTCTCGATCGTATCCGTAATTTTTTTCTGTTATTCTTTTTTTTGAGGGGTTGGTGATTGCGTGTTGATCTGTTCTTTTGTTTTTGTTACTATCTCTTTGCACCTCGATTCTTCTTTGATTTATTGCTATTATGTTGGATTCTTTGTTTTCTTTTATTTTGATATGTGGGAAGTCCCTATGGTCGAAGGTAAAAGTGTTTGGGTTTTCATTTTTGCCAATATTGTTTGTTTTTGGGCACATAAGTGATGCCTCGTAGTACGATATATTTTCATATATCATATTCTGTTTAATTGTCTCTTGTCTTATATATTCTGGGCATTTTCTTGAGTTAGAGTTGTGTTCGTTCGATTTACAGTGATAGCATGTGTCTTCACATGTGTTATGTTTTGGATTTTCTGGGGTTAAAGTTTCTGAGCATTTGAAGCACTTTTGTTTTCCTTTGCATTGAACTTTAGTATGTCCATATAGAAAGCAATTGTAACATTGCGTCACCCGTGGTATGTAGGGGATAACACGAAGTCCTAATCCATACATACATACACATCTTGGTAGTTGTGTTCCATCGAAGGTGATTAGTACTGATTTTGTCGGTATGTATTCAAATTCTTTTTGGGTGTTTGTTTTTAGTTGTGAGTTTGCGGCAGCTTTTCTGTTGAGTCTTACAGCACTTATGATGTTGTTGTAATTTTCTTCTCCAGGAACATGTAGGTCATTCTTTATGGTTTCTGTAGTGAATTCAGTGTCTATGCCTCTAATTATTCCTTTGCATGAGGTATAGTTATAAGGAATGTAGGTTTTTAGGCCCTTGCTTGCTATGGATTCGTTTTCCAGTAGTTCGTTGGCTGCTTTGTGCGTGTGGAATTTCACGCCTATTTTGCTTTTTCCTAATATTTTGGTTCTTTTTATTTCATTCAATTTTAAGTCGAATATTATTTTTGCTATTTTTAATTGGGAGTATTTTCCAATATTTTCTCTATCTGATTCCACTGTGACTAGGAATATTGTGTCTTTGTTGTTATATAATCTTTGGAATCTGGGTCTAGGAGTGTTTTGCACCATTTTATTGTTGATTTCTTCATTTTTATTAATCAGTGTTACTGTATTATTTATCTGACTTTGCAGGTTATTTTCAGAGGTTTCAGAGATTTTTTCGATTGTTTCACCTATTGGGGTTTGATTTGAAGGAGGGGGCTTCGCCCCCCCCCTTCGGGGTGGGCATTTTTTAAGGATTAGTTTGGATGGTGTGTTTTTGTGTAATAATAATAATTAAAAGATTTATTTTGCATATGGTTTAGGATGTGTGTTAATAGAATCACCACTTACTCGTCTGTACTATCTTCGATTTTCACTTTTCACCTTTGGGCACGTTTTTGCAATTTGGGTAAAAAAAACACAGCTGCTTCCACCTGAGTTTTCACAGCGAATCCAAGTGGGAGTTAAATTTTGTTGTTTTATTTGCGAATGAGATAGTCGAGATAGAAATGTGCATTAAGCTGGGTACGCATATGAGCATGAACGCGAATGAGGCAATCCGAGGCCGAACCATTTGCCTCGGATTCGGGAAGAAATAAACTTGACCTGAATAGTGGACGCACGAGGCGTTGTACGGAATCGATCCATAAATATGTGGTGAGCATTCTTGTTGTTATTAATTTAAATTTTTAATCGCTTTCATCTCAAAACAACACGTGGACTGCCTCGACCTCGAAATGAATTTTTAAAAAATTCCATCCACACTGAGCACACATGAGCAGCGGACGAGCAGATGCCTCACTTTGATGTACCGCCAACAAATGGATCGGATCGAGGCCAAATGCATGCGGGTTCAAACAAATTTGCACGCCTCGTTCAGACGTACACATACGTATGCTCATGCGTCCTCGGGCTGCCTCATTCGGGTTCATGCTCATATGCGTACCCAGCTTTACATAAAAAACGTCTGGCGATGTCATTGGTCTGGCGTCATCGTCAGTCACTTCAACCTGGGCAAAAAAATGACCCTTTAGTTGACCCACAAATAGTATTATTGCCACCGTTGCATATTAACCTAGGGCTTATGACAAATTTCGTAAAAGCAATGAACAAAAATGGAGCTGCTTTTCAGTACAGCAGAATATAAGAGAGCAGCGAAAAAACCACGTCGCCATTCCGCAAATGAGTTAAAAATTTATAGTTTCTGTTAATTTTTTGAAAAAATGGATTTTTTTTTTCTACGAAACTAAACTAATTTGAAATATTTTTATCATTATGATGTTTATCAGATGAAAATTAATAAAAAAAGTTACTTTACGCAATAAATACTACTAAGAATTTGTAGACCTGGTGTAATAAGAAGCCAGTTTAAAAAACGTAGTTAAAAAAAAAAATAAATCGCGTAATTTGATAATATTGTTAAATGTTAAGTGTCAAAATTTAATTATTAAGTTTATAAGTGTTTGACTATATTTAATTGTATTACCTAATTTAAACCACTTATTTACAGATGTTATTTCCGTATTTTTCCTCAACAGAGATTCCACGCCAAACTGTTACTTTTGGGGTATCTCGCTATTCTCACTGGAACTTGTTAAGTTCTCGTGGAAAATTTATTTTAACTTAGTTGATGTCCAACTACACACACATTTAAAAATTGTTTGCCATAGTGATAGCAAGTACATACCTACAACATGAAGCTGCCATGCTTATGCTAAAATACCAGGATTTAGAATTCAATTTTTTACTGCTAAAACTTTAAGTTTTAAGGATGATGCTTATTGATACATGGATACTTTTAGCATGACTCTTTTTTTTGACGTTGTGATATACAAGGCGTTCCATTAAAGATAGTGGAGAATTTCGATGTTGAAAAACGGATGTTTTTTACTCGCCCTGTATGAGAGGCAAGAAAATTTGCTACCTACTTAAAAAAACTTTAGGCCAGGAGAAGTCGAATGGCGCAAGCCGCAGGTCGCTATCACAACTCGTTTAGAAGTTATAAGCATTTCAAATGGTTCACTCTCGGCTGGGACACCCTGTATGTGACAAAATTTGATAATGTCTGCCAAAATTGTGCTGTCAAATAAATCTTCTGCCTATTTGAATTTTGAATACACTAGAGCTGTTTTTAACACGCTTATATTATTAGCTTCACCTGTATGTATGTATGTTTGTATGTATGTATGTTTGTAAGTAACATTGAAAAGGTTTATCGCACGGGCACATAGGGATGCGTGCGAACTTTTGGACCCTTGGGAAGTGTATGAACAAGAACCTGGAGCAAGCCAAGTGAGCTGGAACAAGTCTGGATAAATCTGGATGAAGTCTGGAAGACTCTGGAAAGCTCTGAATAAGTCTGGATAATGTCTGCAAAAGTCTGGAAATCTCTGGGGCGAATTCAGGAATGACACACTCAGTGTGAGTGTGATACCGGTGCGGTGCAACGCACTAGCCGTTGATAAAGATGAATGGTGCAAAATATAAACAAAACACAAATAAGAATTAAAGTTTTTTCTTCAAAATAAAAAAATGAACAATAAAATAATACATCGAACTAAAAAGTGAAAAATAAATATAGTTTAGAAAAACTAAAAAACACGCTTTTATAGTAAATTGGACTAAAAAGTGAAAAAATAATTTTTAATATAAACAGAAAATATTAATGAACAAAAAATATTAGAGTTATTGTGAAAAAAGCGTGGGGTGCTCAATGTACGAGAAATGTGGAACAAAGCACCCCACGCTTTTTTCACAATAACTCTAATATTTTTTGTTAATTAATATTTTCTGTTTATATTAAAAATTATTTTTCACTTTTTAGTCCAATTTACTATAAAAGCGTGTTTTTTAGTTTTTCTAAACTATATTTATTTATTTTTATTCACACTACTGGGTATTTGAAGAGCTTCCGATCAGTAGGTATATACTTACTGAGTTAACTGATTTTTTTTTATCTTCTGTCCAGATTCAGAGTTAGAGTTAAACGATAGCGTAGGTATGAAAAACTAACATGAGAATATGTTCACTCAAAATCAAACCGATTTTCCACCGTCAATATTTCAAAAACATTTAAATTTTAGATATTATAGAATACTGTATTCTTCATGAACTATGTAGGTATAACCGTTGATCGTTGGAGATGCGCAAATTAATATCAAACAAATTTTGTTCAAAACCTGCTTTCATAAATCTCTTTTTTTTTAAGAATATTTAGGTTTATATGCTAGCCTCACACGAGCCTCGTCCGTTACAAGATTCCACGACCATTGCCATCCTAATATTGTGTTCTGAGAGCTACCTAGTCGGAACTGGGAAACCCAAAAGAAATTCATAAATGAACACCATTCAAAAAGAAACTGGAGGCATTTTTGAAACCTACCAATAGAAGTATTCCTGAAGGTTGCCATAATAAAATCAAAACTATATCAATTTGTGATTCGAGCAAATATCAATCATTTGGTTTTCATTGCAAAAAGGAATTATTATTAAGTTCAAATACACCTAACTTCAGTTCAATTTCTAAAAAAAAAAAACAAACGCAAACACTCAAATCCAACCATTGTCTACCAAAGATAACCTGATACTTTAATCATCCTCATTTTTAAACTAAACCGAAGTCAATTATTTATATTAGGCAAATATTCAAGTTTAAAAAACAATATTAATTATTTTTTATATAAAAGACTTTTCACTGGGTTGTAAAGGCAAGTTTTTTAAAAAAAATGGCAATGTTTGACATAAATGGTAAAGTAGCCCTTATTACTGGAGGCGCCTCTGGTATGGGTTACATATTCGCCTTGGATTTACTAGCTAAAGGTTTAAAGGTAAAATTTGTTTTGTGAAATATTAATAATTCCATCAACGGTAATTTTTATAAATGAGATGATTCAATTTTCACATTTTAACTATTTTTGGCTTAGGGCGTCACTTTAGCAGATGTTGCTACAGATGTTGGAGAACGAGCAATTAAAGAAATTGAAGCTAAATTTGGTAAAGACAGAGCAATTTTCGTAAAAACTGATGTCACTAATGCTAGTGAATTTGAAGGTAAGAGTCCAAAAAGAACTAAAATTCAATCTAAAATTTTGAAAAAAGTCTTTTTGTTTATATTTTTTCAATTCAATTTGTAAATTTTGTATTCTATTTTAGAGGCTTTTCAAAAGACAGTAGATAAATTTCAAAATCTTGACATTTTGATAAACAATGCAGGCATCGCTCTTGAAAAACGCTGGGAAAAATTAATAGATATTAACTTGGTAAGTGTCTATTATTTAATTGAAATTACAATAAAGATGGGAATCTTAAACTTTCATAAAATCTTATTCTAATGAATTACTAGAGGCATCACAATCCCTGAAAATTTCAGCTCATTGGGAATTATATAGTTCCAGAAATACAAAGTACAAAACCGTTAAGGGGAAAAGAATGAAATTTTATCTTCTTTCCTATACCTAAGTATGAATAATCTCACTTCTTATGGGATTTCTGACCGCGGTCAAATTTAACCAAATTTTAGTATGTTATAGATCTGACCTTTGTCATCAATAACTATCACGGGTACAGCTTAATCCTATATGACTAGTTTTTGAGGTACAGGGTGTTCAGTGTGAATGTCCGATATGCATTCAATCAGCCAACTCATATTCGTGTGAAAATTCAGTCAAGGCGCAGAAATTAGAGAGTTATTGGAACTAATAAATACTGCCTCGCAGTATTAAGGATCTACGTTATTTTATTAGTGCATCAGCACTATTTTTCCAAGAAAAAAACAGTTATTGGAAGACTGTAGTAGGTGCTAGAGTATTACCTTATTTTGTATTCACAATTTTGACAGCTGATAACTATGTTTATAAATTTCAACCTCAAAAAGTGTTTATTTTTGTTTGTGATTTTCTGCCGATACTCATTTTTCGATGCTACCTACAGTAAAATGGAAAACTACTGTAAAAAATACATTTTCCAAGCCAAGTAAAATTAGGTCACCGTCGAAAAGCGAAACGTCAAAGTCGTCCAAAATGTCAGAAATTTGAAATAAGGGAAGTTTACTGCCTCGCACTAACCATACACAAATAAAGACAAGCAGTAACCTTATTAAGGAAATCCTTATTTTCAGACCCAAATGCGCATGTGTAGATGTCAAAATAAGGCTAATTTAAATACTGCTTGTCCTTATTGCACGTCCAATAACTCTCTATTAAGTGAAATACCAATAGTTATTTATGCTCCTAGAGGCATAAGTTCATGTACAGGGTGTTCCATTTTGCTATAGGTATGTCGTGGTGTTCATTATTAGTGGACTGTATATTGAATTCGTCGCTGTTTTTATTGAAATTAAACGCTGGTTTTGTCTTATTTACACCACTAACTATTTATTCACAGAACTACTTCACTACTTTACATGACTATTTACAAATTTACAATTGTGTGAATGATTTTTTGACCGCAGCCAAAAACAAAACTTCAAAAACTGAGCTTGCCACGACGCTCTTATTAATATTAGAAACTCTTGCGCGTAACTGATTAACAATGCGACTCCGTGGTCTCTTTTACATACTCAGGGAAAAGCCTAGAATTCCGGAGTCGTGTTCGACCAATCAGAATTGAATTCTAGATTGCGTTCGAAGAATTAGAATTGCTATCAAGTGGCGCGGCATATTGGGTGTTGTTGCTATGGAAAATTTTATACCTCTATTATTTAATATTTAAAATAGAATATTCTGGAGAATATTATTATATTCGAGAATATATTATTTCGCCATACCGCCCCCCTTGAAAGGATTGCTTTCAAAAATGAAAGTACAAAACAAAATAAGTTTTTCCTGAAAAATTTGAAACAAAATCCTACACAATAGTAAAGTATTACATAGTATTATAAACACTTACTCTACTGAACATGAAAATCGAATAATAAAAATAAAGTAAATTATCCTCAAAAATAGCATTGATAATAATATAACAAATATCATAATATCACCTATATAAACTAAACAAATTATTAAATGCCATTATCGTTAACAAAATGTTGAATAAAGAAAAAAAAAAAAAAAATTAAGAATAATCATATTAAATAAACAAATCATTCATCTAGTCATCTATAGGTAAAACACACACTTTTGACACTGCTCGCTTTACTAATCCGTTCGTAGTTTTCACCAACACTACGCGAACTATATCGTCTGATCCAGGATACACATTTTCAATTCGTCCCATCGCCCATTTTAACGGTGGGAGATTTTCGTCTTTCAATACGACTAAATCTCCTACTTTAATGTTAGAATCTTTATGACACTTCCACTTATTACGCCTATGAAGTTCACATAAGTACTCGCGATTCCATCTGTCCCAAAAGGTCTGAACAATAAATTTTAAATGCTGATATCTACTTAACCTACTACATTTGAGATCCCGTACATCAGATTCTGGTAGTGTAATCAATGCTTCGCCTACCAAAAAATGACCTGGCGTTAAAGGCGATAAATCTGTTACATTATTTGATAAGGGACTTAAAGGCCTAGAATTCATACATGCCTCAATTTGACAAAAAACAGTCGTGAGTTCCTCAAAGGTTAACGAAGCATTTCCAATTATTTTCCTTAGATAATTTTTAGCAATTTTAATGCGAGACTCCCAGAGCCCCCCGAAGTGAGGTGAACGGGCTGGGATAAAGTTCCATTTTATCCCATCATGAGCCAAATATTCAGCAATTTTACTGTTAAAGTCTTTGTTATGTACTAATGTGAGAAACTCTGACATTTCATTTTTTGCCCCCACAAAATTAGTTCCGCAATCGGAAAAAATATTCTGGCACCTGCCCCGTCTTGCGATAAATCGTTTGAGTGCATTGAGAAAAGATGGAGTGGACAAATCGGATACGACCTCCAAGTGCACAGCTTTGGTCACAAAGCATATAAAAAGGCAAAGATAAGCTTTAACTATTTTAGCATTTCTAAGAGTTGAGGTTTTAATACTGAATGGGACACCATAATCTACACCTGAATTATAAAATGGTTTAGCAGGGGTAATCCGTTGCTCAGGCAATTCACCCATGAGAATGTTAAGGCCTCTTGGCTTTACTCTGAAACAAATGATACAAGCCTTAAGAACTCTTTTTATTATGTTAATGCCACCAAGAATCCAAAACCTTGTTCTTATATTTGATAATAAATTTTGTGGACCCATATGCAAATTTCTTTTGTGTTCATTTTTAATTATAATTTCACTTAATTTATGAGCTTTATCTAAAATCATTGGATGTTTTTGTGCAAATGGAATTTCGGATTTTTTCAATCGACCCCCTACTCTTAATATTTGATTTTGATCTAAAAAGGGATTTAATTCAAGTAATTTACTATTTTTTGCGATGGGTTTTTTCGATTTTAAACAATGAATTTCGTCAGAAAATGAAACAATTTGTGACATACGTACCAAACAAACCAATGATTGTTCTAATTCAGACACTGATAAGGTTTCGTCTAAAATTTTATTTTGAGGAAATAATGTGTTTTTGTAAAATCTTAAAATATAGGCTACTACTCGTTGTAGCCTAGAGAATGTAGAATATCTTTCAAAAATGTCTTGTTCCAAAATATACGTAAATACTTGCCTTACAACACGTCTTTCTGGTGTATCTTCTAAATCATCCAAATATGTTGTATTTGACGGCCACTCTTGATTTTCTTGACATAACCAAGAGGGTCCCTTCCACAACAAATTTGAGTCAATCATATTGCTTGGGCTACAACCCCTGGATAATAAGTCCGCTGGATTTTCGCTGCCTAATACGTGGTCCCAATTGTCAATGTTCGTTATTTGTTGTATTTCTGCAACACGATGTGCTACAAACACATTCCAAGTTGCAGGCTCTGCCTGTAACCAAGCTAAAACTATTTTAGCATCAGTCCAATAGTGAATTTTTCTTATATCAACATTCAGCGATTGCACTGTCTTAACCATCAATTTTGACAGCAACAATGCCCCGCACAGCTCTAATTTTGCTATTGTTAAGGTTTTTATCGGAGCGACCCTCGACTTGGCACACAAAAGGTACGTATTAATACACCCATTAGCACTTATTGATCTCACATATATACACGCTCCGTAAGCCTTCTCCGACGAATCGCAGAATCCGTGCAATTCTATGATACATGGCTCATCACAGAATGCATGTCTAGGAATATTAAAATCATTTAATCCAGGCAAATCGTTATAAAATTGTGCCCACATCTCAATTAATTCTGGTGAAAGTTGATCATCCCACTCTAATTTCTTACTCCACAACTTCTGCATCAATATTTTGGCCTTCACTATGACAGGTCCTATAAGACCAAGTGGATCAAACACCTTGGCTATAATTGATAAAATATTTCTTTTAGTTGGTCTAAAATTATTATTCTGAACTACTGTATATTGTAAGATATCATTTTGTATATTCCATGCTATTCCTAATGTCTTTGTGATCGTTTCTTCAACTATGTAATGCTTGATATCAACATCATATTCTTCTTGATTTAAAACTTCTTTTTTATTTGAAACCCACTTTCTAAGAACAAATCCTGACTTTTTCAACACTTCCGAAATTTGAGTTTTTAATTTGATCGCTTCGTCTATAGATTCTGCTCCTGTCAATAAATCGTCTACGTAAAAGTTTTTTCTGATTTCTTCACATGCCCTTGGATAATTATTTTGTTCCTCATCTGCTGCCATATGCAGGCTGCGAATTGCCAAGAATGATGCAGGTGTTGTGCCATAAGTCACCGTATTGAGTCTATAATGCTTTAACTCATCATCCGAATTTATTCTCCATACTATCCTTTGAAGATCTCTTTGCTCCTCCTTTATCCACACTTGCCGATACATTTTCGCTATGTCAGCTCCTAATACTACATTATGCTGTCGAAATCGTAACAGTATAGAAAATAATTCATCTTGGATTACTGGGCCACTTTTTAGTTTATCATTTAAACTTATTCCCATATTTGTCCTGGCACTGGCGTCAAACACCACCCTCAACTTGGTGGTGGTGCTCGATTCCTTTATAACCGGATGATGCGGTAAATAATAAATAGGTCGATCATTTATTTCAATTTCAGTACTGGGTATCAATGACATGTGTCCTAGGGCTTCATATTCTTCCATGAACTCTACATATTCTTTTTTGATTTCCTTATTTAATTCAAGTTTCCTTTCCAATTTATAAAATCTTCTTATAGCCATTTCTTTAGACTCTCCTATTTTTTCAATTCCTTCTGTTGTTGGC